CGCAGCGCCTGTGAGCGGCAGAGGGATCCGGGGCTACCCACAGCTCCCTCCCCGGTCTCTCCAGGGCCCTTCTCGCACGTCGGCACCAGCTCCGGGACACCTCTCGCCTTCCCGTGCAGAACCGCCTCGCTGTTACTACCTCAACCCCCGCCAGCCCCGCGGCCTCTCCGCGCCCCACGGGGCACCGGGGACAGGGCACGCAGCCTGCGCCGGCTCCCCGAGACTCAAAGCTATTCACCTGCAGAATATTTATTGTCCCTGTTTTCCCCTGGCCCCGACTGATGATCAGCAGCAGCAGCAACAGAGGACAGGGAGGGGCGAGGGCCAGCTGTCCCAATGGTTCCCTGACTCCCGCAGCAGCCAGCCCAGGCAGGGCCGGCCGTGTGATGCCTCCCTTCCCTCTGGAGGCGGCAGGATGCTCACCCGGATGCTGCCGAGGTGTGGATGGAGCCCAGATGCTGCTGGAAGCAGCAGGACACAGCTGCTGGCTGAGCCTGGGCTCCAGGTGTGCAGAGATGCTCATACCCAGCCTAGCTCCAACCCGCACCAGCTTCAAACCACACCACTTTTTTTCATTTTGACATTTACTTTACTGGGGGGGGAACCAAAAAAGAGAGAAGCAACAGGCAGTTATACCAACTTACAGTTTATTATTTTTTTAAAAAATGACATGAAACACAAGTAAAAATAAATACATCATATAAACAACAAATTGTTCAAAGTCTCTGTTCTGGGAGATCAGGCGAGCACATCCCGTTCGACAGAGAGAAGAGGGAAGCACATGATCATGCGTGGGGCCAACTGACCGACCCACCCTGCTAGCAACACTCCTCTTTCCAACCACAACAAGACAGGCCACAAACTAAGGCGGTAGTAAAAAAAAAAAAAAAAAAAAAAAAAAAAAAAAAAAAAAAAAAAAAAAAGAAAGAAAAAGAAACCCAAACCAACAGAAAACCCCAAATGAGACTCAGTGATGGATTCCTTCAGGCTCCCATGGATCTGCCAGACTCCAGCTCCAGGTACCACGAAGCTGCCAAGGCAGTGGTGGTGGTTGGGGAGGTGGCAGAGGTTGCTCTCCCTCACTTGCCCCATCACCCCTTCGCAGGGAGCGCTTGCTCCAAGATGCAAGGAGCCATCCCTCACTGTAATCTAGCTGGACTATGGTCCCTGTTTAACCTCTGCCCCCTGCCCCAGCCCTCCCCCACCCCCGGTTCTTCCAAGACTGGATCAACAGAATTTATTCCAGAGTGGCGAGAAATACCAGCTGTGAAGGTATTTGCTGTACTTGTCCCTGTTGGCCTGGTAGCCACCCCCAAACCAGCAGCAATTCTTGCACATTCAGCCTCTTGAATTTGTTTCCCAGAGAAGCTGTGGCTGCCCCATCTCTGGAAATGCCCAAGGCCAGGCTGGACAGGGCTTGGAGCAACCTGGTCTACTGGAAGGTGTCCCTGCCATGGCAGGGGGGCTGGAACAAGACAGCCCAAACCATTCTATGATTCACTGACATCATTAAGTTAAAATATACATAATTTCTAGTGGAGATCCTGTGGAAATCCCACCCTTTGCTTGCCAGAATATTTGCTTTCTCCAAGTAGCTGCACCCAACCTCCCCACCCGCCCAGACACTCCAGGACAACATGCAGCAGATCCTGCCCAACATGGGCCAGGCTGGGCTGTGTTGCCCCCACCCTACAGCCCCCCAGGAAGCCCCAAGAGCCACATCAGCAGTGGGGACAACAAGGCCACCAAGGCCCGTGTCATGGGGACTGTCCCACAGTGGTTCCCAGCCTTCACCCGACTGTCCCCAGGAGAGCAAACCTCACACCAAAGGCAAGGGCTGAGGGCTGGGTGCCAGTGCACAGGGCAGCTGACCATTCCTGAGGCCCCCACAGATCTGCCCTGGCCTTGGGCTGTGCTCAGAAATCTTCCTTGTTGTCCAAAACTCTCTGCAGAGAGTCCTGCACTGCTGTCCTCAGTGTCATCCACAGCCCCTCTGAGAACCAGCAGCTGCTTCCCATCGGGTCATTTGGAGACAGAAATTCAGCAGCATAAGAAAAATTTAACCCGTACAGGGAAAGCCCCTGTTCCAGGCTCAGGAAAACCAAGAGAGGACCCTCTGCAGCAGAATCACATGCTGGGGAGGAGAAACCTCTGGGGAGAGCAGATGAGGGAGAAGAGCAGGCCCCACAGGAGGGGAGTTTAAGAATTTAGAGAGCTCCCGCACTGGGGATAACCCACACCCTCCTGTGGCTTCTGTGGGGCAGAGGAAATCCTTCCCATGGCACCGTGGCAGAGCAGGTGCCTCTGGCTGCCTTGGAGCAGCCCCAGCCACACATGGGAACTCCCATGGGAGCCCTGTGGGCAGCACGGCCATCCCTGTGACACCTCAGCCGAGGCTCCGCCAGGGCCCACCCCCTCACTAAAGGGGGGCCCAGGGCTGGTGGATGGGGCAGAGCTGGGGTTGCACTTGAGCCCTTGTTGTGCAGGGTCCCTGTGCTGCAGCTGCTGGGGCTGCAGATGTTTGCCAGCAGCAGGTCATGTGCAGGACAGCCCCACCACAGGAGGGTGCCAAGGGGTGTACAAGCCATGGACACACAGGAGGTGGGACAGCCCTCACACCTCACCCTGGTGCTGGGTTAACAGCCAGCCCGGAGCACAGTCTGCACCCTGTGGCAGCAGAATGCCAGTCACCCTCAGCTCCTATAGCCACAGGGCTCAGGCTGTGCTGGGGGACCACTGGAGAACATCAGGTGGCAGCACAGGGACGTGCCAGGGCGTGCTCTGGAAGCCCTGGGCGCTCTCCTGGAGAGGCAAGGAGCAGAGAGGTGTGCAGTCACCAGTACCACATCCAGACCACAGTGCTGACTGCACCCAGCCACATCTTCACACCTTGTCCCAGCACAGGCCCCATTCAGAGATGATGTGGGAGGGTCCCTTGGATGAGCCCCACTACCCTGACCCCACAGGAAGGGCTGGGGTGGCCGCAGGGCTCTGGAGGGTCTGCTCACATTCCCACCTCCCACACGCGCCCGCAGGTCTCAACACTTGCTACTCTTGACAAGGAAAGCCCTTGCTAGGTGCATTCCCCAGATCCACAGGAAAACTGACAGCCTCACAGGGACGCAACGGACATCTGGGCAAGCTGGTCATACAATCAGTGTCACAGGGTAGTGCATGAGGTGGACACACAGAGCACAGGAGGGCATGACTCACAGATGCAGCACTGTCAAGTCTTTGGAGAAACTTGCATGAACACCATCAGTTAATTTGCTTTGTTACTTTTGTGGGGGGGTTTGATTTTTATTTCCATGGTGCATCCAAAGACAAGTTGTCCAGCAGTTTGCTCAGAACCCCTCGGTTTTCAACTCCTAGGATATGTTAAAGAAGAAAGCACTATTTTAATGTTTGTTTTTTTAAAAAAATAATTAAAATAATTTGCATAGCTAAACTGTTGATCTAAGGCTTCTATGAATGGTGTGGTTATGTTTGACAGACAATGTCCATTAAACAGAGAAAGACACTAGGAAAGCCCCATAACATTTTTTATTGTGTTTCCGTAACACACGCGTGCACACACAACCCTCTCTCTCAGGAAGGGAGGTCCCCATCTTCCAGCACCCCTTTGGTGGAGGATGTCAGGACATCCTGCCCTTTCCTACACCTAGTTGGTCCCAGCAAACACCAGTGACTGCAGCTTCCATGGCCTAGGGATCCCTTACAGGCTACCACCAGCTCCAGGGACATCCAAGGCAGGTGAGCACAGCTCCTGCATGGTGACACCCAGATGTGACACGGAGGTTCCTGGATTTCAGGTGTCCATCCTAGTGTGTTCTCACACACAGTCGCACACTCCAAGTCCAGCTGCACCTGGGTATCCCAGCCTTGCCCAGGAGCCCTGGCCCTGAGGAGCAGCTGGGTGCTCGCTGGCAGCACCAGAACCAGGCCCTGCACTCCTGGGGCCAATCCCTGCGTGGGGAAAGGCGCTTTCCCAGCAAGAGCTCTGTTTTCCCAGCTCCATGCACCTCACAGCTCTCCTTCTCACTGGGAATGAGCACAGGAGGCTCCCACATGTGCTCCTCCACTATGACAAGAGGATTCCATCCTCCCTCCGGCTGCTCAACACCCAGAGCAGCTCCTGCCCTGGCAGAATGTCCTGATGGAACACATCCAACCGCTGCCAGCCGGTCAGCCACAGGCCACCTCCACAGTAGGCCCTGCTCCTAGGCTAGGCTTTGGTCAACCATCTGCTTCTCCCCACACAGACAACCCAACAAGCGACCACTGCGTGATAGAGGCCAGCTTTTTATTTTTTTAATATGGAAATTAATTTAAAAGTAGAAAGAAAGACTCCCCCAGACAATAAATATTATGCCTTCATGAAATAAATTAACGTAGAGATTCTGTGCAGGGGAAAGTCTCTCCAGTCACAGATTCAACAGCAACTGGCACTGGTCCAGTGTCCCCTCCCAGCCTTCTCCACTGCCTAGTGCTGTTCAGAAGCAGCAGTGAGCCCACCCACCCCTGGATCTAGTGGGCCACAGCAGGGTGAGATGCGGCCGTCATACAGCCTGGCAGGGTACGGGGAAGTCAGCAGGATTCCCCTCTGATGGCCACCAAGACCAAGACGTGGGATTGCTCCACTCATCTGGCCTGGCACACAGAGGTGGCATCAGACCCACAGGGCCAACCTACCTTGGATGGGACTCTCCAGAAGGGCCTCAGGGAGACCCTCACCAGAGCCCCGGCACAGGAACTTCCCTGGAGCCCTCACTCTAGTCTCATGTGAATTTGAAGAGGGTGACAAATTGTGGGGGTATATTTTTTTTATCTTTTTTTTGTCTTTTTTTTCTTATTTTATTTGACATCAATCCCCTCCCTCCCTGCCCCAACATACACAATGTAGATGCCGCCCCACTCCCTCCCCATTAAAAACACTTTGTCCCCAACCTCTGGTGGAGTCACCCCTGGCCCACCCCTCTTGCAGTGAGAGAAGTTCACAGATAAGGCAGTTCATGTGAGAGGGAGCTCGGCCCTGCCAGTGGTCAAGCCTGCTCCTCCAGGCCTGAGAAGGGCAGTGACTCACAACACCAAGCCTCCACGGCCAGACAAGACAGAGAACAGAGACAGACAGACAGACAGAGCGTGGGGGGAGGCACTCCTACAGTTTGCATTGCTGCTTCCCTCCTCCCCGGCTCTTGCTCCCCCGGCTCTCAAAGGTCCACTCTATTCCTCTCCCATCTCCCAGCCCCTAATACAATTCTTATCCTTGACAGCTATAAAACAACAAAACAAAACAAAAAGAACAAAACCACCCCCACGCCACACCCTTCGCATCCTTCTCCACCCACTGCCGTGGCCCAGAGGGAAAATCCTGACTCCCAAAAAGGTCCTGCAACTTTTGCCTCCTGGCGGAGCTGAGACCAAGCAGGAGCTGGGCCTTTTTATTTCCCTGTGATCTCTATGACATCGTCGTCTTTGTCCTCGTCATTAGAGCTGCATCCCACCTCTGGGACCTCCTGGGGTTCAAACTGAGGCACCTGGGACCGAAGGAGACCCCCAGCTGGGTAGCCCGAGTGAGGGGACATGTAGCCAGGGTAGGCAGATGCCACGCTCCTGGGAAGGCTGCTAGGCAAGACGGGGGCTGGGAAAGGAGCGAACATCCTGGGCTCGGACAGGAGTGACTGCGTGAAGGGAAGCGAGTAATTGGGCAGCACCCCTGCCAGAGAAGGGTTTAGCATGAATGAGGGGACGCTGGCGGTGGCTGAGGTAGCAGCAGAAGAGCTGGCGGTGCCGGCTGTCAGCAGAGGGTCAGTAGTCACAGGGAACACCAGATGAGGGTCTGGGAGTAAATTGGGCAGCTGGTAATAAGAGGAGCCAGCGCCCATGTACAAGGAGTTTCCTGGCTGGGAGGCAAATGGATGGGTTAGGTTGTGGTTTAAAGAGACAGGAGGCATGGTGAACCCACCAGAGACGGGGAACCCGTGTTCGTACGGCTGCACGGACGATGGCAACTGGCGCTTCTTCTGCTGCCTCCGGGACTGCTCCTCCGGAGCCGACGGCGACGTTGACTTGCGCTTGTTGCCCCGTAAGTCCAACACCGGGTGGGCATCGCCGTGCTGGCTGGTGGCTGGCAGGGCCAAGGACACGGAGGGAGCCATGCAGTGAACCCCCACGCGCTGCTCGGCTCCTCGGGCGG